TGGCCAGTGAAATATTCCATATCATGGAACGTCATGCTCACTATATAAAGGAGGGGTGGTTGGGAAGGAGCTCTCTCTCTCGCTTCCGGGATTGTGATTGTGGGATCTTGGTATCTCGGGGTTGCTGGCCAGGAACGGGCTGGATATTGGTTAGCGGGTGGTGAGCAATTACGCTGTACATTGCCTGTTTATATATTTCTTTTTGTTTTCCCCCCATCATCGTTATTGTTTTCGTTTTATTGCCATTATTAAACTGTTCCTATCTCAGCCCGCGAGTCTCCCTTCACCCCTCTGATCCCCTCCCCCATTCCCAGGTGGGGAGGGGGAAGGGAGGGTGACCAGATGCAGGGGTTGGTTGCCAACCAGGCCCAAACCACGACAGCTGCATATGACCATACCATACAGACAATCAATTTCCAGTTAGCTGTGAAGATAATGACATATGTCATACTGTCTTATGTCGAAGAATGTACTAGGTCAAATAACTCAGCATTGCTGGTATCAATTACAAGACCTCCTACAAAGTAATCTAGAAGGAAAAATGTAAAATTGTAAAGCTTCCACAATAGTTAATATACAGTCTGCCATACCTTTCCAAAGTCTGTACGTAAAGGCCAAAGAGGTGGGTTATCCTTATACTCCAGCAAGCAAAATTTTAGTATGTAAATGCCAAGGTAGTTTAAATTAGCTAGCCTGCAACCAAGTAGCAGTTCAACTGGATATGATACATACCAATTTATCCTGAATTTCAGCAAAATCCAAATAATATAAACACAAAGATGAATCTAATGTGGGAAGAAAACGTTGTAGGATGTATCTGTCAATACAATTCTATAGGAAGTAAGACAATGTTTAGCACGAGATTAAAAATAATCTATCTAAAAACCTGAGAACTATACTAGGTTTATATATATGTGTGTGCATGTTTATACATGTAGCTATAAAAATATATCTATCTGCAAAATAATGTCTGTTTTAACTGAAGATATTCCAGTTCTACAAGGCTGCAAGATGCTGAATCTGAAAGCACTGGTATTGCACACCCAAATAAAAGTAGTTCCAAATTTTTTATGTTACTAGATCTTTCTCTTGCAAGTTTTCAGAAGTTTCATGCAGCTTAAATATTTAGACAACCATGGGTCACTCTCTTCCTCAGTGAAGTTCTAACTACTGTTTTAATACTAGTACAATTTTCTGTTTCCTTAAAGGGGAGAAAAAGTGATCACATCTCATCTTTTTCTTAACACGGAACATGAACATCAATACAATACCTGCTTCTGTACTCTGCAATAAAATGGTACTTAACAGGAAATGACTGCTGAGTAACACAGGCATTACATAGTTCATAAGGAAAATGACCCACATGACATGACCAAAATAAGACATCCTAGCAGAGCTGTGGAATTGTTTTCACTTAGACATTAGCATTAATAAACACTTCAAAGAGTACTTAGGGAATTTATTTCAACTACCTCTTTTTGTTCCTGTTTGTAACTCTTCAATTTTGGCACGAGTTTAACTGGTAGCTGCTATAGGATTTCTTAAGACAATGAGTTGTGAGGGCCTAAAAGTTAGACTATTTTCTTAGCTACTGGTTCAGATCTCAAAGGGAACTTAAATTTTTGGACCTTTCTGTTTGTTTTATTTTGTTTTAATAATAAATAATTTTTTAAATGAGATTTTATAACTCAGAAAATTAAGAATGCAGCTTTCAATCCACAACACATACTTGGTGGAATATAACCTAATATTCTTTGCGAAAGAGTAAATAGCGGGGCAGGATGCTTAATAAAGAAGTAAGGTAAAACTGTTACAAAAAACACTTTATAGAATGTCAGAGAATAATTATTCTGTAATGCACTTAGTATAGTATAAAGTTAAATCATATTAATAGCAAAAAATCCTCTTCCTTCCAGGTCAGTGTTGAGAAATTTGAGAGAAGTATATGTATAAAGCATTGAGCACACACTGAATAATCAGAGTTTATTGATTACTGTATTTTACTAATCTAGTACGGTATTGTAACAATATAGAGATACTTGCTTTTATATGCACAAATGGCTCAAATTTATACATCCTTAACTGTGGAGAGGATGCAGACCATGGCTCTGGAACTTATTTCATTATTAATTCCTAAGTAATAAAACACACATATACTACTCTTTACTAATTCTAAAGTAAAAAAAAGGTAGTAAGAATGTTACACATTCTGCATCAATATTGTCCAAAAAGGTAACTCTGACATTAGGCATTCTGAGCTTCATGAAAATAGAAAACTCATGTATTTTAAAAAAGAGGAGCTTAAAGTGAAGTCCTAAGCCCTATGCCTGTTTGCAGGTTTGTGCCCAGCTTGAAAGGTGCACAGTGTTTAATAGCTTACTTGAAAGTCAAAGTAATACCTGCCTGTGATGAGAAAAAAACTTTCTGAAAGAAAGGACCTGACAGAAAGTAGTGGCTGCAACAAAGTCTTTCCACCAACTTCAACAAGATTTGGAGTTAGGCACTGACAGAACAAGTGACTTCCCAAGCAACTGCAGTTTTCCCTGACTTAAAAACAGATTTAATAAGTTACATACTGATTTGTTTACAGTGTGCTAATATTGGTAATAATTGCATTCTGGAGCCTGGAACATTAATCAATGGGCTTTCCTTGGTTTTACCTTATACTTTATTTATTATCCATCTATTTTCAGAGCAATGTACGTGCAAGTTAAAGACATTTTACATCACTGTTCTACCCCTGGAAAGTGGAAGAAGGCAGGGAGGGAGGGAAGGAAGGAGGTAAGGAAAATCCTCCTTGCAGCTAAAACAGGCAAACAACAATAAATAATCCTGTTTTCCTAACATTCACTCTCTGACCTAGTCAGAGACGAAAGTTACACGTATCTGAAGTTAAAACAGATTTAAAGCAAAATAAAATCCCTATACAGACACTATTCTTTAAGCAATGCTGCCCTGGATTTGGCTTATGCATGTTCTAAATCAACTTAAGTTGACCAGCAGGGTCTATTAAATTAAGCACGTCCACAAAAACTATGGCCTAACCCGAATTACTTATATTGCTTGTAAAATCACATGTAAGTAATTGGTACATCTTTGTAGATGATATTCTTTATCCACAGAGCTCAAGAAAGAATACATGCAATATAAAGAAGCCCTATCCACAGATCTAAAAAGTACACTAAATTTAGTATTGACTTACTTAAAATTAGCTCAGGTCTTGAAGTGTTGACTAGCTTCAATAAATTAAAGATAGTCATTATTAGAGACAGATGTTGAAGACAGATATAAAACCCACAGGAGTTATGTATTCATTCCTTCCTTATTTCAACTAACAATAAACTACATTGCCCATAAGGAGTAGAAGCACCTAAACCCACACAAGTTCACCTTAATAATCATAATGGTGTACTGACTTCTCACTAAGTACCATGAAAAATTTTAAGAAATGATTTTGACTTGAAAATTCTGTATTTCAGAGAGCTCAACTCTTTGCTCATGCCACTTCACCACAATCTAATCATGGCCACTGATCTTAAATGTACCAGGCATAAGAGTGTTCCCCATAAATGTGACTGCATAGGAACTCTAGACAGTCCAACCGTACCAATCTAGGGTGTGCATAATATATAAGCAATATCTCTTTCATGGCTTTGCGTGACAAGAAGGTAATTATGTTATTGCTCCTGAGTTACTGTTGCCTGCGGTGCAGGTGTTGATTAGTGATGGAAGGACAGTTACAACTGCCATTACTTGTATTGCAGGCAAGAAAGTGCTCTTTCCTACACAAAAAACAAAATAAACAAGATAAGTACATGCAATAATTTGTTGTGATAGTTTCAAAACAGTAAAGATGTGACAATGAAGTAACAAGAACAGGCACACAATTGTAACTGGCAGATATAAGATTATACTGTGCAATACAGGTATTGGCAATACTGTATGTAATACAATAAAACCATTTATGGACTTCCATATTACGGAACAATTTGCTGCTGTTGAAATTCTGTGATAGCAGCCTTCCTGGTAGCTCCACAAAATTGGTTTACATTGGGATGCATCGGGAAAACACATTTTCTTTAATGTTGACAAAAACAAAGCCTGAATAGAAGTTTCTATGGTGTCCTGATTCTTAAATAAAGAAAAGTAAATCAACTTGATGTACAGAAGGTGTTAAATAGCAGCAAAGGGCTAGTTATACCATGCTAACTTCCTTTTGTCTAGTATAAAAGGACATTTTCTTACTTTGCCTGGCTGAGTATAATAGCCTATGAATTATGAGATCAAAGTTTTCTAAAGTAAGAGTTTCCTTCACCAAGTTTTACACTTACTACAGCTAAAAGAGCTGTGTGAAGGGATCAGCACTAAACCCAAAGGACAGGCTGTGCACAGCAAGAAAGAGAGCAACTCCCTCGTGCTTTTTGCAGGTCACTACCAAGGACCATGTTAGCAGATCCACACCAGGCCCTTAACAGGCAGCTCTGCTGCTACCAGTAATTAGCTTGGACAGCTCTGGCTCCAGGAGTAGCAGCAAGGCTACACCATAATGAGCTCAGCTGGGATTAGCAGGACAGGGCAGGGAACCAAGAGAGCTGAGGCATTCTGCATTGCGTATGTATCACTGAGATCAAACAAGGATGGCTGGCTAGGTTATCCCCTCACCACCTCATTCCAAAAATGAAGCACGGCAGTGTGTAAAATACAGGCTAATGAAGAGCGACACCTCCAACAGATGAGAGCCACATTAATTAACACAATCCCTAGATCATGGAATACAGTTTCTGTTAGTGCTAGCAAACTTGTAACTTGTCACTGATTTAAGGGGGGGAGGTGGGAAGGGAAAAAAAAAGAGCTGATTTTTTTTTTTCTGCTTTTGTTGGAAGATGGTTTTATCTTGGAATTTTGCAAGGAATTCCTCTTATGTGCCCTGCAAAGCACTGTCTTGAGAAAAAACAGCAGAATGTTTCTTCATGTAAACACCATTTAAGAAACAAACTCACTTTTCAATCAACAGCTTTTTGTGTTCCCTTTTGAAAAAAGCCAGTTCATTCCACGCAGCGTCAGAATCCTCTTGACAAAGCTGACAGGAGTCTGCTTGCTGGCATCTGCTTTTACTATTTCCAATCCTGTTCATGAGTAAAAAGAAGTTTGTTTTCAAATATCTACATGTTTTAGGACCACAAGAGTAAAAGCAAGCTTGCTTTCAGAAAATACAAATTTTAAGCTTTGACATCTACTAAATATAAATCTTCTATGATGTATACATTCTGCGAGGCATGGTACCTTAAATGTGGTATTACAAAAGAGTTCAATTACATCATTTCAGGCAGATATACTAATATGGTACCGTGGCTCTCAACTGAAATGTGGAAGAGCAGTGTCAACCAACGCTCATTCTGTCAATGTTCCTTACAATACTGGTAGGAGAAAGCAGAAGGTGAAACCATCACACAACCTCTTGCGAAAAAATGGGAGAACCACCAGCTCCCCTAATGCCCCTGCAAACCAGTCTGGAAGTCGCACTACTGCCCACTCTAAATTACACTGTTGATCTACAGTCTGATGAGAGAATAAGCTATCTATGGATAAGATGATGCACCAGGAAAATGAATAACTTAATTCAGAAGCACAGAAAAAGAAAATGAAAATATTTTACAGTATGTCTGTTATTAAAATATTTCTATGTATTTTATTAACACAAAATATAAATATTAGATTTAAAAAATAATTTATAAAATCAATTTTAAACCCTCTGCAATCTAATTCCTACTGGGCATAGAAATAAACTCCCAGGGAATGTGGTAACCTCATAACGCTCCCATCATCTTTGCAGTCACGTATGTCAGTGGAAGTTGTTTGTACACTGACAGGTAGATTAGGTCCCATCAGCTGCCATCTCAGTAACAGATTCTAATCTACAAAGAATCAGAAAGAACGGCGTCCTCCATCACTTACAGAGGATCAGGAGTGCCAAATAAGTACCTGATAGTGAGTTCTTAATGCATAATTTACATTACACCAGTGATATAAAGTTTTTTGAGATACCAAAATAACAGTGTAAGGTATAACCATTTACAGACTGGTTTTATATGTGTTGTGGCTAATTTCCTTTGTTTAAGCATATCAAAAAGGAAAACCAAATCTCTTTTAGTACGATGTCCTCATACAATTTTGTTCTGACAAAATTATCAAAACCCTACAATTTTCAGCTCATCTTAATTACAGATGAAAAAAAATCAGACGAACAAATGAATATTTAGCATTACACTTTCCCCAATACCTGCTTTTCCCAAATACATTCTTGTCAGGACACAAGCTAGTCTTGTTTATTTTAAACAGAAATAGAAGTTGCTTTTGTTTCTTTCCTTTTTCTTCCGTGTTTTTTTTTTTTTTTTTTTTTTAAACTATCAGAACCAAAACACTCAGTGCTTCAATGTATATCAAGTTTGATTTTACTGTCTTTATCTAGGTTGAATTTTTGTATCTTTTCAGCCTTAGCCTCTCAGTGGACCATGAATGCCTACTTAGCTTTAGACAAAGAATTAAATAATTTCATTGCATAAAGTAACTATCATCCAGTAGGTTTCAGTCATTTCCAGCTCACACTGAATTTAGAACAGTGAGCTAGAAGACAAAATCATCCATGATTTCCTAAATAAACAAAACCTCTTAATTCTAATTTTAAAAAAATATTCATTATTTATGATTTGATATTTCAAAAAAATCTTCTTGGACTACCAAATCCACACTTTTTTTTTTGTCTTTTTAAAAGACAAACCATTCTTAGTAAATGCCATAGTATTACAAAGAAATGCAACTCTACTCAAGATAGGCCAAAGCATTATTTATATATGAGGGACAGTTTATCACTCACAGTAGGATGCTTTATGTCACCCTGATGGACACCAGTTTTGCAGCAAATTCTGTTGCTCTTTTTGGTCAAAGTATGCTACAAAGTTTGTGTCAAGATTAGTCAATATTGCTCTAATTACAGAAAGAATTTTTAGCAAAACACATATGTATTCACTAAACCATCAGTGCACTAAAGCCACCAGAATGTAAGGAGCTACTCAAATTACTTTCTTGAAATAGGGCCTGAAAAACCATACTTCAACAGTGTCTGATAACTGACGTGATAAGAAATGTCTTCCTACCTCCAAATGTCTCTGTTTACTAAAAACCCCAACCCTCTGCTAAGGACTTGAAAAAAAAAAATTTCTGCATAAAATTTTCACTGTTCTGTCCAGAATTTAAGGGAGAATTATATATAGAATATTTACTATTTAAATTTTGATGCAGTAGAGTCTTTCTTCTTTCCATTAATAAAAATGTATTACTGCAAAATTTTTGTAGAATGATCAGAAATGATTGATTTTATAATCATTTAACAGATGAAAACACTGTTTTTCATCCACATATTCTTTTTTCCCTATTAAGAAAGGGATTTTAGGATTAGCTTCAGTTAATGTTTGAATCACTAAATGTTAGAGAGGCTGTTATTTCTATATTTTTAATTAATAAAATTATTTTTAAAAACTATATGAGACATAAGGAGCAATTTCTATTATAGAAAATTAAAAACATACACAGTCAACAAATTAATCAACTGGGGAATTAGACAAGCATAAATAAGCAGCCCTAGCAGACCTCTGTCCAGTACTCAGGCTCACAATGAAATCCTAAATAAAATAAGTCAAGGTGTCAGCTCAATACATTTTACTCTTGGTTTCAACTGTAGTTTTTCTCATACAGGGGTTTGCCATGTATTCTGCTTTAACAAAGGATAAAGTCTTGATCACCACGTAGTAGCTTCTTCCTGCAAATCAAATATCTACATAATACTTCTGCTCAGATTTCTTGTGTAAGGGAAATGTTTTTAATGAGCTATGTAACTTACCTGCTATCACCCTCTTCCCACTGCTTTAATTGCTCTTTTAGTGCCCTGTAGTTGGTCTGTAACATCTGCAGCCTCTCTTTGCATTTTTCATGGGCTGCTCTTAGCTCATCAGTTTCTCGAGCCTGTATAGCACCAGAAAAACAAAATTAGAGTTGGGCAAAATGTAAGAGACTCACACAGATCACATGAAACAAAAGTTCTTTTTAAGTAACTATTAGGAGTCTCAGAAATATAAACAGAAAGATTAGGAATCACAATCCCTGAGATCAAATTTTTCTTATTGCTACATTGGCAAATTTTGCTAATTTGGCAAAATTTACTTAAATATTTTCCATGCTGCTGAGAAGTTTTAAAAAAATTATTAACAAAATGTCAATTTTCATCTTGTAAATGCACTGGCCCAATACATATAAAAATACATGGACTGAAAAAGGATTACTGGCAGTATCTTTTTCTCCAAACTAGTTTTTCCCCATTTTTGTTTGTTTGTTTGTTTGTTTGGTTTGGTTTTTTTTTTGTTTGTTTGGGTTTTTTTCCCCACGGAAAACTGATTTAAGTATTTTTGAAAGAAACACTAGCCACACTTAAGTCCACAACAAAAACACTTAAGTTTAGGTAGCCTCAGGATTTCTTCATATCAATTTACTTCTATAAATACCTATAAACCTGTAACACCCAGACTTTGTCCTCTAATTATGTAACAAGCAAGTAATAAAACTGAATGCTGCAATAGTTTTATATAATAAACAATATATAAAAACCCATACTCTATAGAATTAAAAGTAAGATATACCTTAATTTATATTACAGGTTAACGTCAGGCAAGTTTAAAAAAGGATATTTCTAAGTGACAATACTGCTCCCTGAAAAAAATTAGCATTAAGAAGAGGGCATTCCACAGTATAAAGCAAGTCAAATTCTGAGATAGAGTAGTAAGGAATTCACCAGACACTATCCGGTAGTAAAATTTGCCCTCAGTGCTTCCTTCCCAGTTCAATGGAAGCTCTGCTTGTCAAGCAACTACAAAACATGTTTCTTAATCTCTTAAGTAAATCACAGTACTTTATTTGCATGTATTTACTACTTATATGCAAGGAGGGCTTTTCAGCATTAGTCAATAAGTAAGATACACCAGGAGTCAGAGCTGCAAGCAATAAAAATTAAATCCTAGTATAAAAAAATCGCAAGGGTTTCTACAGTGGGCTAACTACGAAGTACCTAGACTCAGCTTGGCTTCTAAAATGTAGCCCAGCTTTCCTGATGCATAAACAAAGCTGAAAGATACCAGGTAAAAATTTCAGATGCTATTACATAGAAAATTCCAGAAGTTTAGGAACAGAAGTGGGTACCAAAGTGACCTTGTCATTAAACACTTTCCCAAAGTCGTGGCATTTGTTGATTTTTTTTCTGAAACAACTTCCAAACCAGATACATCTATAAATTTAGAATTGCTTATAAAGTACTCGACTGGTTTTAAGTGGCTCATATAAACACTACATTGATTTTATAAACAATCACACAAATAGCAAGATAAATTTATGACAGAGGACACAGAGACTATTACCAAGCTTTGCTTGACACTAGAACAGGAAATTTTTATAAGAATCCATTACAGATTCTGTGTTTTTAAACGAAGTTCATGAAATCATTGTTCTGAGATTGTTTGATGTTGCTAGAGAAAACTGATCAAGTCTGGCAACGCACTGGAAAATACTGTCTTCAGCATAAATCCTCAGAAGTTTATTAGTGTCAATGCCCTTTCAGAGACGCAACCCAGAGTAGAATTTGGCCTTTCCTGTTTATGAGTCTACATTTTTCATTATTGCTTACGTGTTCCATTATCCATTCTGTCACAGATATTCCCTTCCCTTACAAGTTGCTCAGCTCTCATAGAAATAGAAATTAGACAACTGACCTAATGACACTTTATTGAATTACTAAACACTTCAGAACTTTAAATTTACACTGTAATTTCCATAATCTCAGTTAGTTCCATCTCTCTGGTTGAATTACATTATATTTTTTAATAATTAAACTGTCCTGTGCACAAGTTTTCTATATATTGACAGAAAAGGGACAGAACAACCATCTCTAGCAGTGCTGGATCTCCAGGTTATTCTCCAGCTCTCCACTGTCATTCTATTCATTTCTTATGCATTTTACAAAGTCCAATCTGCAGGAGGAAGAACCCAAAGGCTTGCGAAAAAAAGTAATTTTGTTACTTGCAGGTAACTCAGAAAAGCCAAAAGATTCAAATCACTACTTCAAAATTTTATTGAAATTGACCTGTAACAGCTTCTGTTACAGTAAAAATAGAACTAAAATGGATTTAAAAGAATATACTGATTCAATTCTTTGACTACTTTTCTCAGGCTGACAACAAGTGAGGAACTTGACCATTAGAAAAATAGTTTTTTCCCACAAATAGTTGTGTGAAAAACCACGATATATTTTCAGCATTTGAACACCATATGTGGAACAGGGCTATGAAATCTAAACTAAATATAACAGTGTGCCCTTATTCGCATAAACAAGTATTAAAGTGGCCCTAAAGACTTTGGTACATATTCTACTTCTAGTTCTCTCCAAACTTTTGTAGCTTTAAACAAAAAGGATAGGAAAACTCAAAAGCAAGATCTGCTATCACTTTTGAAAACTTTCTAGTTAAAGTCCAGAATATCTCCTCTAGGCTATGCCAGGAATCACAGTTCTAGAAATATAATATAGGAGAAGATAAGATATTCTTAGTTCATATCAAATATCTAACTCTTGGCAACCAAACTCCCTACCCACTTCGTAAAATCCAACAGTAGACTGATATACTTATGTTTTGGACCATTCCAAGTACCAGTTTGATAACTTGTTACTCAAAATCCACGAAATACCCTTACTTACTCTTCCCTAAACAAGGGTGCAAATCAGGCATGACCTGTTACTTTTTAGCACATCCTGGAGTGCAAAAATTAATCTGATTCTGTACCAAAACTATGGACACACTGAATTTATCTGACTACTTTATTTATATTAGTAATAAAGATAGTAAGAGCCAACTTTCCTTGGCCAGAAATGAGTCACTTGAGAACAACTGGAAAATCCTATGAATGGGACCATGCCCTTTTCTGTTCCTTTGTAATACTGACTGGGGCATCAAATATTCCTGTTCCTGAAAAACCCACAAATAAAGGTCATCTTTCTTTTGAAATTGTTACCAATTTTTCAGAAGGAGTGACAGATAAAGTCACAATTTCATCTTCAGGATACACATCATCAGTATGTTTACTGATAGAGCAAGCATTTTTCTGAACAAGTATATTTCAAGTAATCATATAGTCAACAAGTTTGAGGAGGCAATAATGCAAGTTCCAGTTTCAAAAATGTTGATCACATGCATTCTTTGTTGGAAGCAATGCCTGAGGAGGCTAATATCAAGAAATCATACAATACCAATAGAACTATTTTGATGTTATTGTTATGACAGCTGAGTTCACTGTCATGCTGGCAAAAATATCGCTGAATTCTGAATGTAGTGCCACAACAGTGTTTAATATATTGACCTGGACCTCTACAGCTTCATTTCAATCAAACATTCTGAGAAAGAAGCCAAGTTGTCTTCCTAGAGAAAATACGAGTTCATATATTCAGTTTCAAGGCGAAATATAAGACTTAGCCCTTAAAGACCTCATGGATTAACAACTGTGACAAACAGAGGTCTCACACTTGCAACATAATAAAGCTGCACTGATTCCCAAATTATGCTTTAAAATGAAATGGAAGAAATGACAAAGGCAGTATGGCGAACAGTAAAAATTATGTTATGAGGTCACGCTGAGAGATTAACAGTCCTTTCTCTTCTGTATGTGCTTGGAAAATCAGAGTGCTTCTCTCCACTCTTCCTTCCAGAAGAAAACACAAAGAAATGTGGAACTCTATCATTTAAGACAACAATCATACACACTGATGTGTGAGCTTTGCTGCCAAGGGTGGCACAGCTGTAGTCCACAGTGCCAGAAAAATCTGTAGCACCTGTGTCTGGCAGGCCAACTAAGAGTAACAAATAGGAGTCCGGTCAAAGGCCTGTTCTCAGGTAGAGCTGGTGAGACATGCCTTATATTCCTCAACAGAGAAAAAACAAAATAAAATTAACCTTCTGACTCCCAGGAACAAGGAGCAAGATGGCCTATAAGACTGAATTTGAAGTCTAAATCATCTTTTCTGCTCATAAACTCATATACTCTGTGTGTGTTAAGACACTACATTAAGCTTTCTCAAGTGTACACGCTAATGAACTTTTTCATTTGTGCTAGAATATAATTCCTACTCACATTTTTTTCTAAAATTGACTTATCACATTGTGAGTGTCTTTTTGCATGAGGCTGGAGCTCAGGGCTATGGTTTGTAGGGCTACCCAAATCTTTTCACTTACCTGACATTTACCACAGTTTGTTCAATATAACCGGTTCTGCTTTAGGCTACATATACTGAAAATACCTTTCAAATTCCATCACTCTGAACAAACATAAGCAACAAAAAAGAAAAAAGGAAAAGAATGAAAGGAGAATTACGAATTGTAAATGTTTAAGAAAATATGACTTGGGGTTTGGGTTTTGCATTGAGGTGTAATTTGAAACCAATATGTCATTCAAAAGATATTATTTTTGAAGAAAAAAAAAACCAAATCAACAAAAATCTATAAAACAGAGACAAAATGGGAAATTGTAATGCATGCTCAATTGAAAGCAAGGAGTGTGGGGGGGTTGTTTGATGGGCTTTTATTACAGCATTTGTTAGAACAACAAGTTCTGATCCATAACTTCTAACAGTACAAGGGATAAATCTGTTCCAAGTAATTGATTTCAGCATTTTAAAATACTGGCTTCACTGTACCAAAAAAAAAAATGCTTTCTTTCTACTTTATGCTTCACTTTATTTTTAAATGAATACATTAATTTATTGAAATATATATTCTCAGACACAATTTTGAAAATGTATTTAACAATCACGTATTATTGATGACAGCTCAAATTAGGCTTTCACAGGACTGCAGGAGGACCAATGCAAGATTCCTATCAGTGAAGGAAAAAGGAAAACTAATGGAGAGTGCTCTCTTATGCTAACACACTTACAGTCCATAACGATAGGTACATTTTGAATTTTTAAAATGTCTGCTTATTTTGGTATATCTTTATCTATGCAAGCTCACAGATAGAGGGGGGTTTTATTTCTATTTTTTAATGTTCACCTTTAGCTGTAGTGTCTTCTCTAAGTTTTCAATCTTCTTTTCAGCTATTTTAAGCTTCCTTAGCTCCTCTGACTCTCTAAAAGAGCTCTTTGGGGACAGAGACCTTGAACGTTTCACAGGTGGTTCCTGGAGAATAAAACAAGGACATGGTTGAACTAGTTGGAACACTGGATTATGAAAGACATGCAGAATTAAAGAAGAAGTAATTTTGAATACTAATAATGAATTATATAAAAAAAAAAAATCTGCATGGAATACCAGAGAAATAACAAGCAGAATTACCACAGCGCTACCACTAAAGGTTTCTCTGTGACTCGTTAATGAGAATATTCATTTACATTTACATTGTTTCTTTCAGAATAATGATGTCCCATTAGGGAAGACTAAAGGGTTATAGACTCAGAAATGCAAGAAACCTCATTACAAAGGAGGGGATAGAGGCTGGTCTAATTGCTCTATAAGGGTCCAAGGTTACACTTGATAGGACAACCAGAAACAAGAGGGAAAGGATTTTTTTCCCTTTGAAATAGTTTAACACACTGTGAAGTTGAAGGAACAATATGCTTGAGGAATATAAATACAACAGACAGTAGATCTTATACCATAATGACCATATGGTCATTAACTATAATGTGACTAACTAGAGACAAGAATATGTGTTTATATTATGTACAGCTTCATATAGCAATCTGGAGAAAAATATGCAAAAGTAACACTTAAACTGGGCATCTTTCTTGTTCATTCTATGTCATAAGTCCTTACGGCAAAGAAAGACGGACCTCATCAAATTAGACTTTTTGATTTTGTGAATAACTTTGGTTAAGGACAAAGAAATACTAACGCACGCTTAATACCGGTAAGGTAAAATGCTATTATGTAAATATATAAAGTCAAACAAAAACTGAAGATTAATTGTGATTATTGTGGTTGCATGCCGACATTTTCACTGTAAAATAAATGATTTACAACAAAAGGAATTCAGGATAAAGTCTTGAATGCTATATATTTCAACACATTTACATTAAATTAATTTAAAGAGAATCTTCATTAGCAACTAGCATTTTTTTCTTGACCATTACCTTCTAGTATTTAATGCTTACAGGTACTGTGTACCACATTTTCACTGTAAATCATACAGGTTTCCAAAAAGGGGGGGGACAAAAAAAAATGATTCAATATTAGAATGTTACAGTATCACATATTTAAGAATTTAAATATTGCCAAGGTGTTTTTGTCATTTAGTTTTGGGTTCCTTTTGCTTCTGAAATGTTCCTGAATAAGATGGAAAAAGAAAAAAGAAAATATCAAACAAAAACCCCAACAAAAACCTAACAACTGGAAAGAATTTCAGTACATTTAAAACCGGACTGTCAAATGGACATACTTTGTATATTCCTGTCAGTTCCGTTATATAACAGAAGAGACTAGAAGAAAGGTTTAATAAATATTTAAAACAGTATTTCCAAATTTATGGTTTTATATTTTCAGTATAATTAATTTTCAAATAATAAATGCTGATATTAATCAATAATGATTTTAACATTGCACAAACCCAAACTGATTTCTTTCAGGTGTCTGAAGAAGATAATCTGAAGACAAACATAACAAAATATATATTCATCTTGAAAGTCCCAGATTTCTTGAATAAAACCAAGATCTTAAAGAAAACTCCTACCTTCCACATTTCCTAATTATTGAATATCCATACTAATTTTTCCTAGAAGTCCAGAATGCATTATTTTTCAAGAAATGTTTCCTAGTTAAACTGTATGGTTGTATACAGAATACTTGGAAAACACACAATTTCTCTGAAATGAGGAATAAAAGGTCAAAGCACTGCATTTCTTGCCAAAGAGAAGGACAAAAAAGCAAGATAAGTGGACCAGCCAGCACCAGACTGCTAAGAATAACTAAGTAGAGAGACTTTACAGAGGAATGGAGAAAAGAGCAAAATACACAAAAATTAAAAATTCATAGTCCTGCTGCTTTAATCAAAGGTGATCAGATACAGTGAGTACACAACAGGGGTTTTTTTATACATATATATATATATATACACACATACAAACTTTATACATAGCTAACTGAGAATGCACTGTGAATCTTTTTCACAGGGCCAAGATATGGAAAAAAATAGAGAAAAATTCTAAACATGGAAATGGAAATAATTCCCTGTGAGAACAGGTGGAATTAGTGATATGTATTAAGAAACATTCTATTGTTTGAATACGTTTTTACCTGTTTAGTGATCAGACTAGAGGTCTGTGGAGAGAAGGAGCTGGGTCTGGGCTTTATAGCTGCACATAGGTAGTTTGAAGGCAATCTTTGCTAAGAAGGCAAACAGTTTAATTTACCTACCAAGACAGAAGAGACTGTGTAGTAAAATACACTGTAATTTGACTGCCTGGGGCTGCTGCAAAACTCAATTTGGAAGATAGTATCTGTAATACCCTTCTCACAACTGCAAACTTTGCTGCTGCTGCTGCCAGCTTTAAGCATTTCATTTTTAATTCAGTCCTCAAATTCTACAGTAAATTTAGACATAACTGTACTATACATATACACAAATTATAAAGATTTAAACATTTCTTAAATGTTTAGGAGTAAGAAAAAGTCCAGTTTTATGAGCAAAGAATGTTAATTCAAGTCAGTAAAGGGTAAAACCAAAAGATTTTTCTTCAAGTGATCCTAAAATATGTTTACAAAAGACTAAGATAAATAGCAGAAAACCAGAAATAAACAGCTTTTATAATATTAATAGGTATGAAACTTTGTGACAGAAGATTTAATGTAAAGAAATACCTGGTAAGTGGATGGGACACACATTAACTGTTAATGGATGTACAGGAAGCAGAAAAAGAAAAGATACCTCTTTCTAAGCAACTTAGTTACCTGTCTGCACCATGAAAGACACTATGGAATGAAGATGGAAACAGTCATGTTACTGAATTCAACAGGTTTTGTGTTGTATGGAGTCCCGAAAGAAGTCAAAAAAAAAGGCAAACAAGGGAAGCTAGAACTCATATGGGTATGTCTTGGGGAACTTTTCTACACACACAGGTTGGATCAATGCCTTCCAGGATACAACACTGAAGATAGCAGGTAGAAATCCTAATGTTTTTTATCAGCTGAAGAAATAGAAACATTGTTGAAGCTGAAGTAGAGGCTAACAACATACAGATGGTTTTTTTCAGAGAGGAAAAATGGCAAATTCTTGATTGACCATGTTTCAACAGGAACTTTATCAGTACTGTGTGTTAACTCATGGCTTTAAATATCTTAACACTACAGACTTAGAAGAATGCTACAGAATGTGTACCAATAAAAGGCAACGATAACTCCCATGCATCATACAATGGCAAAGCTTAGCTATAAAAAAAAAAAAAAAAACAAAAACAAAAACAAACAGAAGGGCTGTGTTACTGAATCAGCCTGCAGACATAGGGATGGCACTTTAATTAGGTAACAGAAATGCTACATAACTCAGAGTTACAAAAGTTTACGTTCCAAAGACAGCTCTAGGAAGATCAAGTAACTGAGTCTTAATTCTTCATATAAAATGGCACTCAGACATACCAATTCCCACAGAGACTATGAGGGTTAAAGTTGCCTCTAACTACACAGTTAACAACATCAAGAAAAATGAAACAACATATGCACATTTAACAAAGTTTTTAACCACCACATTATCTGCCTTGCAGAGCAAGTTGTTTCTATTACTCTGTATGGCTGTAGGCAAGGGACTTCAATTTCTGCAATTCACAAAAAACAACACTAGCCTACAGATGTGTATATATATACACATATAATCTCACTGCATTCTGAGGAGCCAAACATTGGTGGAAGCGTACAGTCATGTGGCCACACATTCCAGTTTATCACACCATTGGCAAGTTTCTATTTTGTCCCAGGCCCTTCTTTTTAACACTTTTTTCAATATTTTTTCTTTCTTTTTAGTGCAGAAAGTAATCAAAGCAGTGTCATTCTGATCAAAAGTGATTCTGTGCTTAGCTAGTCTTTGTAACCTGGGAATGCACATAAGGGGGGGATGAAGGCTTAACATGACATTGTGAAGCCAAAACGATCACCACTGTAAAACAAGAATTGTATATCCAACATATTCTACCTGTCAAATCATGCGCTAATAACTTCTGTCATGAATACTTCTGTCATAAAAGAAATATTTCATTATAAGAGAAAAATCAGTAAAGAAGCTGTACTACCTCTTCTACTTTACATGTATATTTTGTGATCCTAAAGCCAGAATGTTTCCACAATTTTCCTTACTGTCTTGCCTAAATGCAAAGGATTTGCAACCCATCAATTTAACTCCCAAAAGTTTTAATAGAGACTAAATGTACATGTGAAAAAGTGCACATATCAAACAACCTTGAGTACGGAAAGAGCATGACCATTATATATATATCAAAACAGGAAAAGATGCTCAAAAATAGGATTTAAAAATTTGTATTTAGTTTTACTCAAGGGAGCATAATTGCTTTATTTCTGACACAGTGATCAGTTCACAACATACATAGTACTCTCATTTACATTATTCTGAGGAAACAAGAAATGACATTGTGGTGGGTTAAACTTCGCAAAGAGTCAAATACCCATCCAACTGCTCACTCACCCTGCTTCCTCAACAGGAGAGAGGGAGAAAATAGGATGAAAAAGCTTGTGGATTGAGACAAAGAAATGGAGATTGTTTACCATTCACCATCATGGTCAGACTTGACTTGAAGAAAATTAATTTAAGTTACTGTCACTTAACATAGATTTGGGTAGTAAAAAATAAAGAAAATACGAAACCAACACCTTCTTCTCCACTCTACTTTCCGGGCTCAACTTCACTCCTTCACTCTCTACCTCCTGCTGAACAGCACAGAAGTGTGGGGAATTGCAGGGTTAATGTCAGTTATGGACTGATCACTCTCTCCTCCTCATGCTTTACCCCTGCACAAAGTCAGGGCCTCTCCACAGGATAAACCTGCCCCAGAGTCCTCCACAGGCCACAGATCCTGTAAGAAGACTGTTCCCACACAGACTCTTCTCCACATGCTGAGGTTTCCATGAGGGAATATCCACCTGGTTTGGTGTGGGCTCCTCCAGAAGCTGTAGTGTCA